ATCTATCTATCTATCTATCTATCCATCCATCCATCCATCCATCCATCCATCCATCCATCCATCCATCCATCCATCCATCCATCCACCCAAACTCACACAGTCTTACTTTGCATACTCCCATGTGCTCTCTTTATACAGAAACTCTGTCTTTCTAGTGGTGAAAAACCTAACCGATTATATGAGATAACAACAAATGCATCAGTGTTAGCTCAGAACCTTTGTGTAGAATATCTACTATAATTTTAATCAAACTATTGTGGCTTACAAAATTTGCCATTGTACACCAGCAGTGTTAAAGCTATCTGTAAACTTTACATTCATACTTTAAAGTGCTTTTATTTCAGTTTTTCTCCTCCTAGGAGCGTTAACTTGCAAATCTCGTTGCTGTAAATTCTATGAAAACAAGTGCAAAATTCCCTTATGCAAAAGTGATCACATCTACAGATTATTGTCAGTACAGTGGCTGAATTGTCATGATTCTGTTAGGCCTTTTCAACAAACATCTCAGCAGCCAATACAGCCACTGTTCTGCCGCCTTACTGTCGCCCAAACTATTGTCATGGAGACCTTGTAAGTTATAGCACAGGGTGTGTGAATATGTGTGTATGTATGTGTGTTTGAGCTCAGCGCTGGACACAATAGGCAGACTGACACAGAGTCTGATAGGGGTCATAACCCCTCGCAGTGGGAAGCTCAAACTGTGGCTCCTTGCTTCTCCTCTGTCTCCCAATCAAGTTCTCTGTGGGTGTATGTATTTGTGTATGTGTCTTACCTCTAATTATGATAGATGTTTTGCTGTTTTTTGTCATTCTGCTGGTCTTTTAACTTCGTTTTTGCATGTTTATCCTATATTATTCACCTCTGTGTCTAGACAGACACACATGCAACCAATCGCCAGTGCAGCAACATGATAGATAAATCAGCAGTCTTAAAGCTGTCACTACCACGGTCATTGCCATGCACAGATGCAGAAACATGGCTCAGATGTGCACAAACACATATACAAGTACAGTGACTATATTCTGAATCTTTACGCTGAAATTCATTCTGAGAGGATAAAACTGTTAGGTTGTTACTTTAAATTTCTGCAGGTAGCGATATTGCGCTGTTGTAGAAAATGGACAGTTTAAACTGTATGTCTACATTGGACATTTTATTCACACAAAATGCAAACAGCTTGCAAATGCAAATCATCATTCATAAGTTATATTTCAATACAAAGCGTTAGGCTTGGTTTCAAATGAACCTCCATGCATGTCCATATATGTATGAATTTGTAAATTTGACCCATCCATGGTGTCCTAGCGGTGTCGTCACAGTGTCTGTCACCACTCAGCCACTATGGCGCCCAACTTGGCCGAGACCCGACGGCGGCAGGGAGCACCTTGTCGCTATGGTAACATGTCTGGGATGCAACACCCCTTCAGTCCTAAAAAGGGAAAAAATCTCAATAAACGTGTATCTCATAGGGCAAGAAACATTTTTTGTTAAAAATAATAACTGAGTCCAGAGTGACCAAAAACAAAGAAGGTCACTGTGACATCAAATCTTATTGACCTACCCAGGCTTGAAACTGGTTTTCCTTAGGAATCCTGTGTATTAAGCACTAGAAATTCAACATACAGCCCTGAACAGCCCACTAATCTCTGCTAGCAAAATAATACATTTATACTGATAATAATGATTGCATTTCTTCTCTAAATATTAATATATTTTCACATGTTAAGGCACTCTCAATTATTGTTTGGTACAATTCATAGGGGTTTCATTAAATGCTTTTAACTCAAGGAATTTTTTTAATTTTACTGGCTGCTTTACTATGATGTATAAATTTTTGAGGTTTATCAATGACAGTTTTTCTGTTTTTTCAGACCCAAAAAGGTCCCAAGTACGGGCTGGGTTTAGGCAAGATAATGGTAAAGAAGAGACAGTATGCTAAAGATATATGACAAGGAGCAAACCAGTTTAGGGTATGGGTAAGGCAACAGGTCATCTGACAGACACTGCAAGCACATGAGAAACACAAGTACTGAGAAGAGTTTTTAATGGAATGATGAAAAGTCATTGTATTAACTTAATGTGGAAAAGCTAAGGTGAAAATTGATCCGGGGCAAAGAGAGAGAAGAGCTACAAATTACACTGACATCATATAAATACTACAGATACCCAGAGGAAATGTTTTGTAATTGTCCTTTTACTCATACTTGTTTTCTGCTAGCACATTTATAAACAGGCCCCCATGTTTCCCAAAGTCCTAAACTTGAGGTAGGAACTCTTCTCTAACCAACCCGCCTTTGTCAGATTGAGAACTATGACCTCGGATTTGGAGGGGCTGATTCTCTCCTTCACACTTGGCTGTGAACCGCCTGGGTACATGCTAGAGGCCGTGGCAGGGGGAAGCCAGCAAAACAACATCATCTGCAAGACAAAATCCACTGGTCCCCAAACCAAACCCCCCTCTGGCCCTAGGCTGTGCCTATAAATACTGTCCTTAAAGGTTATGAACTGGGCCAGTTACAGAGGGAAGCCCTGTCGGAATCAAACATGCAGCTTGAACAGGCTGGATCTAATGCCAGCAAGGAGGAACAAAGTCTTTCTCTACTTGAGCAGAGACTGAATGGCCTCTAGTAAAGTGTCCTTGACTAAGTAGTCCTGGAGTGGCTCCCACAAGGCACCACAAAGGACATGATCAAAGGCCTTCTCCGGGTCCACAAAACATACAAGGACTGGTTGGGCAAAATCCCTGGCACCCTCAAGCCCCAAGTAGAGCTGGAAGAACTCCTCCTAAAACCAAGGTTCGACAATCAGCCCACTTCTCCTCTCAGCACCCTGGCATAGACCTTTTGGGGGAGGCTGAGAAGTTCGAACCTCGTATAGTTGGAGCACACCCTCCTGTCCACCTTCTTATGCAGGAGAACCAACACCACACTCTGCCAGTCCAGGGGCAATTTTCCTGTCCTCGACAGGATGTTGAAGAGGCATGTAAGACTTTGGGGACCTCAGCTTGAGTGATGAACAAATCTGACCCAAAGCACTCCATCTGTTCTTTCATCATTGAGGGCATGTCAGATGAACTGAGGAGATTTCAATTCAATTCAGTTTATTCATATAATGCCAGTTCACAACACGTCATTTCAAGGCACTTTACAGAGACAACTCAACCAGATCATTCAGTCAAATTGATTCAAAGTCCTCACGCAAATCCCTCACACCAAGCATGACTATAGCGAGAGTGGAGAGGAAAAACTCCCTTTTAACAGGAAGAATCCTCCAGCAGAACCATGCTCAGTGTGAGCGGCCATCTGCTGAAGCCGGCGGGGGTTCAGGGAGACAGATGCAGACATATAGAAAGAAGCAGAGATACAAAAGCTAAATGTCAACCAGCTCCACATGTGGCTCTGTCCAGGAAAGACACAGCCAGGCAGACAAACTCCGAGCCAGCTCCCATGTCAGAGGAGGGAAGAGAGCACATACAGTTAGTCACAGTCAGAGAAACAGGTCTGCACTGAAAAACAGGCCAAGCTCCAACATCTATAAACAAACGTGTTGATGGCAGCAAAACAGCTGATATTTCTCTCCAGGATGATGTCACAGCCAAACAGGAATAGACCAGATGAAGCTACTATGTGAAAACCAGAGACAACATAATGTTAGTGATTGAACTAACAAATTCTGCAGAATAGGAGAAAAGAGATAGAATGAAGCAGATTGTTGAAAAGGGGTCCCTATGTCCTCCAGCTGTTTAAACCTATAGCAGCATAACTCAAGAGATAGATCTGGATAACCTTAGCCACTCTAACTATAAGCTTTATCCAAAAGAAAAGTTTTAAGCCTACACTTAAAAGTAGACAGGCACTATAACTTCTGTTTTGTCTGCACTCAACAGCAGAAAGTTAAGAGTCATCCAGATTTTTATGTCTTAAAGACATGCTTGTCGTCTATGTAATGGGTTAGCTTCATCTGGATTTACAGACAAATATAGCTGAGAATCA